CAATTATTAGTGATGTATTTAATCCCTCAATGACTTTTTTTAGACATATACTTGCCCCAAACTAGTTTTTCCTTTTGTTTACAAAGGGTGGCATGCCATTATGTTCTGTTTCATATTTATTTCACTTAGTTTATCCTAGAGATCTTACCTGTCCATATATAATAAGCTTCCTTGCTTGTTTTTTTAATAGCTATATAGTATTCCATTGTGGGGTGAAGTATATAATCAATTTGAACCGTTCTCTGTGAGACGTATTTAGGTTATTTCCAATTCTTCCAAACAATGCTATTTGAATATTTGTCAATATTATAGAATCAATTCTGGAATATATTTGGTGAATTGAAGAATTACACTCATTTGCAACTGTGGCAGAAGTTGTGGAAATAGCCTCCACTGGAACATATCAATTTACTTTCCCATTAATAATGTTTCAGGCACCAGTTTCTTTTGAGCTATGTCAACGTTTTAGCTTTTTGCCAATCTACTAGCTAAAGTGGCCCCTCAGGGACATTTAATTTTTATTTATTTTACTATGAATGAAGTTGAAATTCTTTTCATATGTTTAAGTCATGTGTACTTCCTTTTCTATGAACTTTTGAACATATACTTGGCTATTTAAAAAAATGTTTTGTGGACTTTTTATTTGCTATTTATTGGAGCTCTTTATATAGGGAAATTTGCTCATTGGCTGTGATAGGGAAATTTGCTCATTGGCGGTCATAGGTATTTTCTCATTTTCTTTTTTTTAACTATATTGGCAACTCATTCTTCATATGAAAGTGTTCAACTCTAGACTCTGCCCCATCATCATACAGCCTCAGTCACCCAGGCACTCTAAGGGCCCCCATAGGCCAGGCATGCTGTCATTTTAGTTCCATTCTACTTTCTTATTTTGTTCCAGAAGGTTCAGTACCAAGGTCATGAAGCACAAATTGTAAATATCAGGGATGGAATTTGAACCCAGATCTCCCTAGACCGTAGGGAATCAAGAACCTCTTAAGTACAATATAGGGTATCCAGGATATTTTAAGAAAATGCAAACTATTCTTAATATTAATTAAAAGAAAGCCAAAGGCATAAGATACAATCTGCTAGGAGAGAAACTCCTGTTTGGAAGGCGGCTATGCCCAGCAATGCTGCCATTGCTTTTATAAGCCTCGATTGGGATTGTTTCCCTCATGAAAAAAGAAAGATTGAAGATTGTGTGGCCTTACCGTTAGTATTAATCATTAATTATGTATGTTAACTATGCCATGAAGAAATCAGCACTCTTTAGAAAACCTGTGGAAAGACTGCTTTCTTTGCATTTATACAAATAAAATTTAATGACTACCCCATCCAGGCCAGCCTGCCGCCTAGCACACATTTCTCTGTATCTTTTTTTTTTTTAAGATTTACTTATTTATGCATACAAAACTGGGGTACAGGCCAGAGGCTGAGGGACAGTGAGAGGATTGACCAGAGACAGAGTAGCGAGCATGACAGGCAGATCAAGGAAGTACTGCTGGGGGAACAGCAGATGAGACAGGAAAGGTATGCTACGCCATGTGGGTCCCCTCCCTGACCAGAAATTGAACTTGCGCTGAAATGGCTGCAGCTACATTCATAGTGTTGTGCTTTAACCCATTGTGCCACCAGGAAGGGCCCAATTCTCTGTATCTTAATGTGGCCCGAAGCCAGCTAGATTTCTTTTGTTTGTTTAATTCCTTTCAATGTTGGAAGGAATCCACTCTTTTGGAATGGATTGCTTTGATTACATAAGAAAGTAGAAAAGATATATAAAACAGAAAAGAGAATTGGTGATACTCTTAGCTCTTAATCATTCAGTGTTTTTGAACCAAGTATTAGGGTTGCTAAATAAATAAGTGGACCCTTAATTTACCCAGAGACCTTCTGCTAGATATGTATTCATGTGTGCATCTGTCTGTCTCATCTCCAAGGAAACCTTACACTGTCCCTTTTATACCCTGATTCAGTGAACCACAGTCACCAGAGAGATGTGAATTCAAGGAAAATTATTGTAATTAACAGAGGGGTCAGGAGAAGGCAGACAACCCAACATGCTCAGCTTGACCAAATTCGAAACTGATAATAATACTATATCCTCTCTTATAGAATCTTGGGCCCTCAATTTCATAAGAATAAGACATTTTTTAAAAAGTTGGAGTAACATTGGCTTATGACCCTGTTCAAGAGAAACAGATTCACACCTCTTCAGATTTATGATATTGCAATATACCCACCACCAGGCCATCCATAACTCTCCACCACAGTCCACTACCTACAGTTCACATCAGGCCTGATGATTACCCACGGTGGAAGCCTCTGTTCCTACAGTCGCATTTTCTGGCGTTTTTTAAAATTCATCTTGCCAGTTCCTTTGTTTGTCTGTATTCCACATATAAGTGAAATCATCCTTTGTCTTTTAAGGAGAAATTGTATCCTTTATTTGTCTTCTAAATAGAAACTCCATGTACTTGGAACAGGAGTGTTTGATTTCTTTCAATGTTGGAGGGAATCAGCTCTTTTGGAATGGATTACTTTGATTGCATAAGAAAGTAGAAAAGATATATAAAACAGAAAAGAGCATAGTGATACTCTTAGCTCTCCAAATGTAGATGCTTCAGAACCCAAGGTGTAGTGATTATTTTAACTTGCAAAAGTGAAGAAGGATGTCAGGGAACACTTTCAACTTCTTTGCTTTTACCCCTTATTTCTGCAGAGCTCATTTTCTAATCATCACGGGTCATGTGAGTTCCAGAATTATTCCTTTGACAACCCTAGAGACCTATCACTGAGGGCATGCCCCTCATAAATCCCAAAATATGGAATGAGGACATGTTTGTTTGGATACAGTGCCTGTACTATGTCATAGGTACATTGTGAATATCCAGCCCTACTTGCTTAAGGAAATTGTAACCATTTAAATAAGCACATGATTTAGGGGCTTGTGAGCCTGAGATGGAGCTGACTGCTTCTGTCCCACGCACTCCCCTAATGTGCACGCTTGCTGTGCCTGAGTGACTGCAAGCAGATAGCCTTTAAAGAGGAGACTTACATAGGGTGATAAAGCTGCACATGCCAACTACTTCTGGAAGTCAGCAAAAGCAACAGTCATCTGTCACCAGGCAAAAGGAAAGACTGACTGTACTGGATACATTGACTAGATAATTTCCTACATAATTTTAAGGCATGATTTTTTTTTTCATATGCTGACATTTTACCTTCTGCAGGTTGACTTTCAAACCTAAGTTTCTTAGAATTCTTCTAACATTATCTTAAAAACCATTTTCTTTCACTAAATACTTATTGAGTGTCTAATACAATATGATACAAAAATCTGGCTGACCTCCCCAGATTCAGTAGATTCTAAATGATTTGTGCTGAAAGCATTTTATTACGCACTGTATTATTTATGTAATGTTCATGAAAATGAGAATGAGATAAACTTGCATAGAAGCTCCTATGTCCTACTTAAAATGTGGTTTAAAAAAATCCTTGATTTTCTGCACAAGATTGTGTTATTCTATTTTACAGTTCTAATTTTTCACAATGGAAAATTTAAATATAGGTAAATTGGGTGAATTGACTAATGTCATGTGAAATGTACTATTATATTTAGACAGAGGATAAACTGGTTGATAGATACTTCAAAATTCAAACTAGTGGATGCCTTAAAGTCAGGGTAATTAGCCAGTAAAAAAAAACACAGAAGGGGGCCCTACCTGGTGGCGCAGCTGGTTAAAGCACTGCACTAAGAAGCTTAAGCCACTTCCTCATGAGTTCGATCACCGCCTGCCCCGGAGGAGACCACATGGCGTGGCAGACCTCTCCTGACCGGCCCGCTGCTCCGCTCAGCAGTGTACTTTGTCGATCTGCCTGTTCTGCTCCCCGCTCTGTCTCTGGTGAATCCTCTCACTCTCCGCATCTCTGGCCTGTACCCCAGTACTGTATGCATAAATAAATTAAAAAAATCTTAAAAAAAAATACAGAAGGGATATCAGCTATTTTATTTCTTACACCACATTTTGAGTTCAAAGATACTCACTAGGTTGCTTCTTTATACTTTTGTGTTTTCTTCCTGATTTTTAAAAAATAATATAATAGTTTATTTTTACATAATTTTGTGCCTTTTTCCATGTCAGTTGTAATCCCAGTGGGTTTCCCATCACCAAAGCACCCATGTGTCATCACCATAGTCCAGTGCACTTCTCTCGCCCCCATTTTTTTTGATCCCACTACCCACTCCACCCCCATAAATGTCTCTGGTATATAGTTGTTCATTATTATTATTATTTTCTCCCCTGGTCCTTTATACTTCTGCTATGAATGAAACCATCTGGCTTTATATCTTTTATATATCACAATTACCAGCAAAAATTTTCAAAAATTAACCAAATCAGGAAAACATTGATATATTTAGGAAGGGAGCATAGGGTTTTAAATCTAAAAATATCTAGTCTCTTTTAATATACGTATGGGTGTAAAAGAGAGTTAAGCTCTAGGCTCCATGTATTTTAATGTGGTGGTTCTCTCAGTGAGATGTTTTTTTCTAATTATTTTACATATTCCTAGTTAAAAAATGTTTGTACAGTGTTCAAAAATTCATGGTCAAAAATGTACTTTTGAAATTGTTTTATGCACTAAACCCTGGATTGTAAACAATACAACTGTGGCTTTACCAAAAGAGATGGAAGACTTTTCCAGGAAGGGAAGGAAGCATAGAAAAATGATGAAGAATTTCCAGCTGAAGACACACTGTGATTGCAGGGGACTACTGCTTGGAGGGACCCTTACTGAGAGCATGTTTTCACCTGATGCCACTAGCCCTGTGAGACATAAACTTCTCGGCAACCAACTAACATGGGATGTTTTCTCCAGAGAGGAATTGGCCCAGCACTGAGAACAGCTGGAATTGGAAATGAAAATTTTCTTTGCTAATATCATCCCTCCCTTCCACCCCACCCCACCCTCCTTTCTCTCTTGTGTTTTCATTTCAGTGAAGGAAGCAACCTGACCCCAGCACATCACTACCCAGACTTCAGGTTTAAGACCTATGCTCCACTAGCGTTCCGGTATTTCAGAGAACTTTTTGGTATCAAGCCTGATGATTACTTGGTAAGACCCTATAATTTGCCTTCCTTCTCCAGAAATGTGTGATATAAACATGTGTCTCATAGCAACAGCCACAGAGAACTTGTATCTTATAAAGCTCTGAAGCCTAGTAAATATTCCAAGCCTTATAACGATTATAAATTTAGTGTCAGGAAATGCAACTTTTAACAGATAGCTACAAAATTGGCGATGGTAATTGATATTTAAATAACTGTGGTATTGGTTCTTACTTCAGATAATTATTCTAACATATATATTATAATTAGTTCTAAATGCTCCTGTGAATTTTGCTGATTGGACTTTATTTGAAAGCCTTCCTATTTTAGTCCCCTTATTTATGCTATTCATCTCAAACCTGTCAGGGCCCACAACTGTTTTCACCTTGTCCTATAATTTGAATGCCATATTAAAGAAGCTAGCTTTGTTCTTCACATCTTATTGCAGGATCTTTTGAAATGGATTTCTGTTTGATACTAGAGCATATTTTATCCTTAGACTTGTCTTCTCTAGCTGCCTTCTGGCGCATGACAGATAAAACACAGAAGCCTTTTATTGAAGTAGTCTGATGCCACCTCAGATTTTTACCTTCTTCCTGTCAGGAGCTAGAAATTTCCTTTCTGGCTCAAGGAAAAAATAATGCTTTATTTTATAATTTGATTACTGTTAAAACCCCAGGGTGCTTCAAAATTGGTTTTCAAGAAGCTGTAGGAAAGGTGCCATCAAATATTTATTGCCCATCCTGTTCCATATGAGCTTGATAAGGCTTGAGCCAGACGCTGGGAGCCAGCTTTGCAGAGAAGTGTAGGAATATCTGTCATTTGAAACAAAGAGTCTGTAAACAGAATCTTACACTTTGGATAAGTTGGAAATAATTACATTAAAAATCAATTCTTTCCTATGCTGAAGAAGACCTTTTTCTTTGGTGGAGCCCTGAGAAAATCATGACTTCTGCCTGATAACACTGATTCCTTAAGACACATTAATAAATCTTCAGAAAATGGTGAAAACTGAGTAGAAAGTTCCTGGGCACCCATCTGCCCTTGCATGTATATATCCATGTAGTTGTCTGCTTCAGTAATCCTTTTTAATTGAGCTGCCAGGTACAAATCAAACCTGTCCTCCCAACCATTCAAGCAGACAAAACACAGGTGTGTGTATGTGTGTGTGCAAGAGTGATAGGTAGGAGAGAGAGATCATGACTGAAGGTCATCATTCAGTTTTAGAGAACTCGGTGGTGGCCTGATATTATATTATCAAAAACAAGAAAGCTCTCTTATCTTCTAGCAGACATCAGAAATTAAGGTTTCTCCTTCTGAGTTTCCAGTTAAGGAGATGCCTTAGATTTACAATTCACTACACAATCCAGGCAGTTGGATGAGACTGCTGACTCATATGTACTCTTCACCCACCTCCTGTGACCTGCAGGCTGGGCCCATCTCTTTACTCATTTGGTTTCACACTTCTGTCAGGGAAAGCCCTTTCAGTTGCCGAATGAGCCTTTAAGCTAGAAAAGTTCCTCATGATGAGGGTTTGTACAGAGAAGCTAAGAGACTAAGCTCATGACTTTTCAGAGAAAAGTCCTCTTCCCTGCATCTGTCAAAGGTAAATCAATCAATCATGGGTACTTCTAGCACCTATTAAAACAAAGATGTTTATTAATAATTTTAGGGAGATTTTAAAGAAATTATTAGTCAAGGCCCTCCCTGGTGGCGTGGCAGGTGAAAGCATAGCACTAACAAGCAAAAGTCACTTCAGCATGAGTCTGATCCCCACCCTTGGAGGTGACCCACTTGGCACGGCAGACCTCTCCTGACTCGCCCGCTGCTCCCCTCAGCAGTGTACTTTGTCAGTCAGCCTGTTCTATTCCCCACTCTGTCTCTGGTGAATCTTCTCACTGCCCCTGCACCACTGGCCTGTACCCCAGCTCTGTATCCATAAATAAGTACATCTTTAAAAAGAAAGAAAGAAATTATTAGTGACAGCAGTCAGATAATTTAGGATCCAATTGGATATGATGATATTTGGGGAGCAAAGCAACCAATTCTACCTGCAGTAAATAAAAAGACATAAGATATTCTAGGATTTCAGAACACAGTATAGCCTACTTCTGTAACAGTAATGATAAGGAGGGTTTCTTCTGGGTGTAGTTGTAAGAGGGGGCTCAGAGCATTTCAGTCTCCGCTCAGGCGGCAGGCCTCCAGTTCATCCTGGCCTACCAGTGCCCAGGTGTTCCAAATTCCAGGGTCATTTATGTAATATCTTTTTAGGCTCACCCGCACAGACGGAAAGAGAACAAGGTGAATATTTAACACTACTGGGGGAAGTAATGGCAGGGAAAATTATCTCCACCACACTGCACAAGTTTACATTGTTAATTTGCCTTGGCAGGGCCCTGCTGGATTGTACTTTGTGTTCTTTCCAGAGGGTATAGCAGGGAAGCCCCGCAGGAAATAAAAGCCAGAGAATGAATGCATCGGAACAGCTTGCACAGATGAAAGTGCCTGGAAGGTGCACAAAACCCAGGCATGCACATGGGGCTTGTTGATCATGGCTAATTAAAATGTTCCCATCTCTCTTTAGTTGCTTTTAAAAGGCAACGTTTCCGAGAAGGTTGTTTAGAAGAGAACATGGTAACTGACTGGTAGGATAAGAAGACATGGAATCAGAGGTGATGATGTGACAATTCCTGCGTGACAATTGCTGCTCTGTATCATAGTGCCAGCTTACTGTGGACCCACTTTAATGGGTCTAAACCACTTATTTTTCCATTCATATGAATTTATAACTTATACTTTTTTTCTAGGACTTATTTATTTACGCATACAGAGCTGGGGTGCAGGCCAGAGGTGCAGGGGCAGTGAGAGGATTCACCTGAGATAGAGTGGGGAGCACAACAGGCAGATTGATGGAGTACACTGCTGAGGGGAGCAGCGAGCAGAGTCAGGAGAGGTCTGCCACGCCATGTGGGTCACCTCTGGGGCAGGGACCGAAGTCATGCTGAAGTGGCTTTAGCTTCTCAGTGCTGTGCTTTCACCCGCTGTGCCACAAGGGAGGACCGATAATTTATACTTTTATGTCCAAAGGAGTATTTGACAAATAACCAATGCTTATAGAAGAATTGGAGACTTTAAATGGAAGCAGATGTTCAGATCTGAATCCAGATTTCTCTAGACGGTGCTTCCTGAATCACCCCCTAATTTCTCTATTTGCAGCCTCTAATTTCTGCGTTCTTTTGTTGTTTTGGGTCTTTCACAACATTTACTCTTAGCTATAAGGAGATTTGTGTCAGGAATTCAAATCCCATGGAACAGAGAATCAGAATTCCTAAAGATTCCAGATCTGTCTGTACATGTTATGAGATCTGGGGTCCACACCTTGGTTTTCCAGAGTCTTGAGTTGAGGATTTGTTCATGTTTCACTAAAGATGTCTTTAACATACCTTTGGGTAGCCCTCTGGGTTGGAATTATGCTGAAAGCTTCAGGATATCCTGGACACCACCAGCCCTTCCTCACCTGCCTGTAGCATGTGTGTGGGGGGGGGGAGGGGATGGGAGGTGTGTGTGTGGGTGGGTGTGTGTTACTGGTTGTGTACCTCCTTCTGCCCCCTGCAGATGATGGTAAAATAAAAAAAAATAGCAACAGAATGACTAAGTGGTAGCTTCTTCTAGCCAGGGGTTTTTGAAGCATCTATTTTTTAAATGCTCAACTGCTGTCAGGTAGATACTTCATTCATTTTTAGAAATGGAGTCCTAAGACTCCACCATGCTAAGGTGCTTAATCAAGGTCACGTAGCCCCTGGCTGTGTGATCCACAATTTGACCAACTTCAGTTGAGGCCCAGCCCCGGGGCCTTCCCATGGACACTGCACACACAGCAAGGGCAGTGCCCTCTGCTTCCTGTTGGCTCTTACGCCTTCCGTGTGCTGGCCGACAGCTGTTTTTGTTGTTCTGCCTTATCTCCCACTCACCCAGAAGGGCTGAGGATATAAAATTGCTTAGGAAGAGAATATTAGGAGGCAAAGCTAGCAGAAAGGTGAGGAGGCAGGTGATGGATGTGTCCAGTGGCTTTTAGGAAGTCAGCAAACTCTTCTCTTTTCTTAGACAATTTTATTTCCCTTTATCCATGGGGCTGCAGCAGGTAAGGTCATGTAAAGAGCGATTCCCAGGAGTTAACTTTTAATCATTTTTCAATGTTCCTCTCCCTCTTCTCCTCCTTTCTTCTCAGACTTTTTTATGGTAGAGAATTATTCACAAATTAAATAAAAAGCTTTGGGAAGCTCAGCCCTGGATTTTTAGATGCCTCATTTCTCCAGCTCTGGTTCTTTGATTCTCTGCCTTCACCACCTGCCAGGTCTAGTTTGATGACACATATTGGTCTTCTTAGCTTTGTCTCTATTGTTTCTCTGTAAGTGGTGGGAATTGTTCATTAATGAACACTGAGCTCGGGAACCCAAAATTGACTTCTCTGGTTATTGTGGCCTTTTTGTGAGGTTTGCAGCCCTTCACTCATGGGTAGAGAGTAGCCTGCATTTAACTGACAGGTCTTAGTGCCACTGTGTGCAGTGCACAGGCCCTGAGTTGTTTCCCTGTAGAAGCTATTTGTCATTACTGCCGCCAAGAGTGTTACAGTTTGATGGAACTTGGAATCAATAAATAGGCAATTAAGGTATTTTGGGGTCATGTCTGTGCTGAGAACTTCCAGTGCCAGAGGAAATAGATCTAGCTTCCTAAACTAGGAAGATTTATCCAGAGCAAGCACTGTCCAGTAGACCCTGAAGGTCAAAGTAAGGGTAATCGCCTCTTAATGGGGCTGACAACACAGCACAAGGAGTGGTCTCCTACTCGAGACCCTCTAGTGACTTCCAGCTCTCTTAGAGAAAACACCAGCATCCTTAGGGTGACTTATGGCACCCTGGGAACTTGCTAGAAATAAAGCCCCTTACTCAATACCACTCTTTGAATTATCTGACTGGACAGATACAGTAACTGTTCTGCAACGCTGATTCTGACATATCTGTTGCCCCCCATCAGAGAACTGTTAAAGATAAATGGATTAGATTTTAGAAATTTCAGAAAGAGCTTTTCTGCTATATCTGAACCCTCCTTTTAAAACTTATCAAAAGTGCTTCCTGTGTCAAAATGACCAAGATATGTCGTGCTGTTATTTTTCTCCTCGTTTTTTTTAAAAGATTGATTTATTTATGCTTACAGAACTTGGGTACAGACCAGAGGTGCAGGGGTGGTGAGAGGATTCACCAGAGACAGAGTAGGGAGCAGAACAGGCAGATCGACGAAGTACATTGCTGAGGGGAGTAGCGGGCAGAGTCGGGAGAGGTCTGCCTCCCCATGTGGGTCACCTGTGGGGCGGGGATGGACCTCATGCAGAAGTGGCTTTAGCTTTTTAGTGCTGTGCTTTAACCCGCTGCGCCACCAGGGAGGACCTTTCCCTCCTCATTTTTAAATGCTTCTTTACTCTTGTAGTATTCCATCTGCAGTGAACCTCTAATAGAGCTGTCCAACCCTGGAGCCAGTGGGTCCTTGTTTTTTGTGACCAGCGATGATGAATTCATCATAAAAACAGTTCAGCATAAAGAAGCAGAGTTCCTTCAGAAGCTGCTGCCCGGCTACTACATGGTAAGTAACTGACAAAATTAACACATCTACTTGAAGTTAAATATACTCCTCCATAGTTTTGCTTCCTATGCTTCTTTCAGTGACTCTGGCATATTTGTTTCTCTTTGTTAAACTGAAGTTTGCATTTAAGTCATACTGTGATGTTTGTTGAAAAGTAAAGTAGAAATGAATGGTAGGGCCCAGCTGTTGGCTCATTTAGTACTGAATTCAAATCTCAGCTCAACCATCATCTACTTGTGTGATTGTGAGTAAGCAGTGCAACTTCTGAGCCTTTGTTCCTCAGCCTCTAAAGCCTAGATGGTGATTTTTATAAAGGGAGATTACAGGATAAAGGAAGCATCCATTGCAAAGCTCCCTGCCCCACATGGTAGTAAAAGAAGAGTGGCTTCTTTTAAAATTTAGAATTTCTTTAAAAATTTGGAAGGAAACTTTGTAATAAAAAAAAAAATTTGGAAGGAGCGGGCTCTCCCTGGTGACACAACAGATTAGAGCACCGCATTATGAAGCTCTCCAAAAACCAATGCAGCACGAGTTTGATTCCTGGCCAGGGAGCTGACCCACATGGTGTGGCAGACCTCTCCTCACCCGCTTGCTGCTCAGCAATGTATTTCAGTAGGCCTGCCTGTTCTGCTCCCCACTCTGTCTGGTGAATCCTCTCACCCACCATACCCCTGGCCTGTACCCCAATTCTGTAAGCACAAATAAATCTTTAAAAAAAAGTTGGGAGAATCATCAGTAGTACAGAGACTTTTCTATATACATCTTGCTATGTATCTACACATATGACCCTTATCAAACTATATTTAATTTCTCACATTCTTGTAATCTTGTAAAGTGAGCAAAAATAGGCATATCTTCCACATTCTTATAATTAAAATGACAAATATTTTCTTGTGATGGAAGAACATATTTACCCTTTAGAATAGAAAATAGAATAGAAAAATGATAAATATCCAAAATATATCAAGAACTCCAACAATGACAAAAATAAAATACACAAAGATTGTTAACATAAAATTATCTTTGAGTTGGCCAAAAATTCATTAAAATATTAAATATTTCTAATAATCAGTGATTTTCAGATTTTTAAAAACAAGTTTACAGTTTTCAACATGCTTACAAAGATTTATCATTTTATAATATTCAGCTCTGCTAAGCAAGAGGAGAAATAATGTCATCTTGCAAAGTGTGATTGTAAATTGGTCTGACCATTTTGGAAGACAGTTTTCAGGAGTTATTAAAATTTAAAATGCTCATCTCTCATAGCTCAGCAATTAATTTGCTGTAGCTACTTTAGAGAAGAGTCACATATGGCACTGATCAATTCTTTGCCTGTTTTTAGTTTAGAGCTAATTTGGGACATTCTGTCCATTTTCAATTCAGCCACTTTTAATGTTCTGGGTTTAGAATGACAAAGTTGCTGTTTCAATAAGGCAACTTAAGAACTAGATTAGAAATAGCAACATTTTAGCAATGGCCATTAATAAAGATAATCACATTCCATTTTTAATGATCACGTTAGATGAAGACACATCTTCAGTGTAGCTTATTTTGTCAAAAGATTGTAAGCATTTCTCCCTTTTTTTCTCCTTTTAGAATTTAAACCAGAATCCAAGGACTCTTTTGCCAAAATTTTATGGACTATATTGCATGCAGTCAGGGGGAATTAACATCAGGATTGTGGTCATGAACAACGTCCTACCGCGCTTTATGAGAATGCACTTCACATATGACTTGAAAGGTTCCACCTATAAGCGAAGAGCATCCCGAAAAGAGAGGGAGAAATCAAACCCCACGTTTAAGGACTTAGATTTCCTGCAAGACATGCATGAAGGATTATATTTTGATATAGAAACATACAACGCGCTCATGAAAACACTTCAGAGAGACTGCCGGGTAAGATGTTACCTTTGTAAAGAATGTCCCTGATGGACACATGGAATCCCATGTCCCCAGTCCTGGGGCCAACCCACGATTCCTTGATGGAGAAGGAATTGGTGGATTTCAAGGGGATGGTCTGGATTCTATTGATTTTACCAATAAGTTATGTCAGCTTTCTTTCATAAAACAAAACCAAGTGGGTTCTTTTTTTTCCTCTTTAATTTGCATCCACCCCTAGAGAAAAAATAATTTAGTTTTAATGCAATGATTAAGTAAGAAAGAGCATGTACAGATCTTGGAAGGAACAAGAGTCTAACCAGGAGGAGAAGTTTAGAGAAAATCACTTGGTAGGACTGGTAAATGGATCCCTGGAAATCTAGTGCAGAGGCTGAGCCTTGAGTGGAAATTGCTTTACATTTGCTGGAATTGTTTCATTCTGATCTAAGTAAAAGGCAATGAGGAGTTAGGATTAGCCATTAGAGCAAAAACCATTACATGTAATTCAGCCAGAGTGATTGTCAAAAGTCAGGAGGAATTCAGTGGCCTGCCATCCTTAGGGGGAGATAGAAGGCAAAAACAAACTGGGAATCATTTTTGCCATGGCAAATTTATAGAAAGTAGTCAAAATTCTTTTGGAGAAAAAGATGAAAATCTAACTTTAATGGGTTCTAGAGGATGATAATCATATGATTAACAGGTTCTCAGGAATATTGTTTCCTGACCCAGATGAACTTGACAGAACCAGCCATCTTACCAGCTCCGCTATGCGTAGCAGAGGTGGGCAGAAGGGTGGGGGGTGCAAAGTTGGTCTGGACCTCCCCTGTGGCAGGGCTTTCTGGAGAACTAAGTAGAACTTGCAGGATCTGGTCACTGGAAGTTATGGGCTGTGACTTTTGGGGATATATCTGAGCCTGGACAGCTGACCAGAGTTGTTACGGGGTGGGAATGGCGCTTCTAAGCCAGACCTAAGCTCACCTGAAGCTAAGCAAGAAAGTCTAATCCCCTTCTCACCCCTACCGGGTAACATAGAAAGTGGGGAATCCTCATTGAGAGATACAGCCCTACTATTTCTGAATTTTTCTTACATGTATGATCATACACTAAGATACATGATATTGTTTCATGTAGCATAGATATGTTATTCCACGGTTCTTATGCTTAAGCTACCATTTGTTGATGGCAAGGCTGACTTTTTTTTTTTTAAAGATTTATTTATTTATGCATACAGAACTGGGGTACAGGCCAGAAGTGCAGGGGCGGCGAGAGGCTTCACCAGAGACAGAGTGGGGAGCAGAAC